AACCAGCTCAAAAACAAAATCCGAGACCGTATTCGGATTCCCCATGAGATGGTGCATCAGATCATAGTAAATGTGACTTTAGTTTTTAAAAAATCCAGTCTCAATTATGTCCTTCCTCGTTCTCGATCGCTCAAAAATCTTTCGTGCTTAGTTATTACAAAAGGCTCTATTGCTCGATACAGTGAGGTTAGGGATGGCACTTTAGCTTTACTTAAAAATTTAAAGTTAAAGTGAAAAATAATTTTTAGCTCTTCATCATCAATTCTCTATTGGTTTTAACTGCAACTTTAAACTTTAAAATTAAAGTTAAAATACCTTCACTTTAAGGAAAGTTTAAAGTATTACTCTAATTTGTAACACTTTTTTAAAGTGTTTTTAAAGTTAAAATGCCACCTCAAAGTGAGATAGCCTACTCGATAGAGCTTCGCTTGCTCTACAATCCTAATAGCTTAGAATTATCAACGTTTTTTGATATGACTAAAATATTGAGTCAACTTTTGTAAGTAGTGTTTACTTTAATATCCTTAGGAGAGAGTTTGCAACATGATCGTTAGGGAAAAGCTTTTAATCTTCAATTAAGGGATCTCAAATGTAATTTACAGTCAAACGGCATTGAAATCCAAAATATTAGTTTATTCAGTTATATCTGTGAAAAATGCTAGCTGTAACAAGTATGGAAGTTGAATATTACGACCCTTAATGGTGCCTAAAAATACGGATGTTCAGTATCTTGACGTTATCTCAGAAACGGTTGGATGGTTTGGGCTCGGAGACGTCTCATTCTATAGCGAACAGTATAGACTAATATTTTGTCCTCTTTCAATGGCCAACATCGAAAGTAAAGAAAACGCTCCAACTCAAAAACTGATGAAAATTTGGAAATGTAGCATTCAGGCAGTAGTTTTCGGACTTTTCTTTCATGCTGCAAGTGATACTAGTCTTCGGTTTTCTTCAAGTTGTAGTCTATACTGTTCGTTATCAAATGAGATCTTTCTGAGCTCAAACCATTCAACCATTCGTGGGATAACATCAAGATACTGAATACACGTATTTTTATGTATCATTAAGAGCCGCAATATTGAACTCCCACACTTGTTACAGTTAGCATTTTTCACATGTATAACCAAATGATTTAATATTTTGGATTTCAATCTCGCTTGACTGTACTTTACATTTGAAATCCCTGGATTGAAGATTAAAAGAATTTTCCTACCGGCCATGTCCCAAATCTTCTCACAAGGGTAATGGTGAAAACACTACCTGAAAAAGTTGACTCAATATTTTAACGACATCAAAAACGATGATAATTCTAAACTATTAGGATTATAGAGCAAGCGATGTTCTATGAAGTAGGCTATCTCACCGAATCGAGCAACACAGTCTTTTAGAATAACCAAGAAAGAAAGATTTTTGTGCACTCGGGAACGAGGAAGGATATATTTGAGACTGGATTTTTTAAAAACTAAAGTCACATTTACTATGATCTGATGCACCATCTCATGGGGAATCCGAATACGGTCTCGGATTTTGTTTTTGAGCTGGTTGGAGTATATAAAACTGCTAGAAACTGTTGAAGAAAATTTTATAAAAAAAAAGGTTTTTTACGAATTTCCTTTTTTCTGGTTAAATTATTTTGAGCATATCTCCATGAAAACAAAAGCTTTTCGAAAAGACTTTTTTATTAAAATGCCTAAAATTAAAAGCTCTACAAATTCTGAAACATTCATCCAAATCGGTGATGAATTTTGTACATGTAGTTGAGTTCATGAGAAAATGCTCCCATAGAAATTGAATATCAAAAAATAGGCTGAAAAGATGGAAATCTGCCCTATTTTATACCCTTTGTCATTTTTATATAATTGATCACCCCGAAAAGCCAAGCATACCATTTTGTAGAGCAAATTTCGCTCTACGTTTGCCACTATGTCACTTGTCTGGGAAATTCCAAAAGTTGTATTTTTTTTCAATTGAAATTTAAATCATTTTCTTCTACTTTAAGATGTCACATGTGAAGATCTATCGACTTTTAGCTCTCTCTCATTAGTTCCTGAATGGTTGCAGAATTGTAAACAATATTGCTTCGCATACTACGATCAAAACTGAATAAAAGTGGCCTTATAAGAAATCTTTGCGAGGAGAAACGGGCGAATAATAATAAAGGCATAGAAAAAAAGATGAAAAACGCTAAAAAGATCATTTCTGAACTTTTACATGATAAAAACTATGAAAAGTCGGCTTCTGGGAATCATAGAGGCTAAAGTATTTTCCGCAATCCAAATAAGGAGCCTGTAAATCGAAATTGAAGCAATATTTTTTTGCCGATTTTTTCGCATGGTTAGATAGAGCTCGTCGAGTTACCTATAAAAACGTTATTTCTCACATTTTCAGATGGATTTTTCTATAAAAAATTTCGAAAATACTATTATTTCAAAAATAGCCTTAAATTGATATATAACTATTTCAGCTATAGTTAGTATATTAACATTTTTTTATATTTAATCTCGATTTTCTGTTCTTCAACTATTTTAATCGACACTTCCGATAAGACTCGACATAAAAAGAGACTTTCAATGGATTTGAAAAATAAAATGATTGAACAGTCGAGTCTATCATGACTAGACCTATATATAGATATAATAACCTTTAGAGTGGTACCTTTCAAAGACATCAGCTCATCATAGACACATGTTTTACCAATTCTGTTTCCATAGTTATAACCCTCATATATATACTAAAAAAAATAAATATGGGTTTTGGACAATCTCCTTCTATCGTTGAGAAGTTAAATTTTTTTCATAAATGTTCTACTAGGCCTAAAGATCGAAATATGAACTTTTTCGATATTTTATGACGATAGAAGAGGTTTTGCTAAAATTTTCGCTATAAATAATTTAGAAATAATTAAACACGCTTAGTTTCTAATACAGTACACATGTGAAAGTGTCATAAAGTGTGAAAATTACTACAGGCGCTGAAATAAATCCATCAGTCTTAATCGCTACAAAATGGCAGGCTTAATGTAGTTCTTGTTTGAACCAGCAGTTAGTTTTTATTTTGGTGCTTCATTTTTTGAAGTATGTTGATTATATTGTTGGCTGTTGTTTGAATTGATCACTGGATAAAGCAGCATATTAAAGATTGACTAATAAAGATTGCATTAGGAAACTATTTCACCTCCCGATAAAGACGGCATCTTTCTTTAATGCATATCAAAATACTACGCGATCATAAATAACGTGATTGGATGGCCATGTATAAATTACCCACATTATATTCAAACGATAAGAAAAAGAAAATGGATAGATCATTTTTATTTCTATAATAATATCATAAAATAAAAACACTTTTCAAATGGAAATGTCAGGTGTATCGAAGAAACAAGCTTGTGGACGTTCTGCTATATTCGAAAGATGGGGGAAAAAGTGTTTCTTCTGAAAGCGAAAGTTCAAGTGAAGATGATTCTAAAATGGATGATGACTTTAAAGTTGATAGTGATGATGAAGGAGAGCTTTTAGAAAAATCGATTTAAATGATATTGGTGATCTTTTAGAACTTTGTCAACAACAAAGAAATTTAAAAAACATTGGTTTATTATTATACCGGGTGGCCCATAAAGAATGGTGGTCTCAGTATTTCCTCAATATCTCTTTCAGCTTTCATAATTTCGGGCTGCGTTTTTTAGCAAAAGATTAAGCGTTGAATTCTCTGCAAAACCATAGAGAGATGAATGTCATAGAGATAGAAGCAAAAAAATTATTGTAGTAATACTACGAACAAGCATCAATATCAACTTTCAAAGATCTTGTATTCAAATTAATTTGGGTTTTTTCTTGGTGGTAAAACACTTTTAGAAAGCTTCAAAGTACCACTTCTGGTACAATCATGAATGCTCTATCTAATGGAGCATACGAAAGAACATTTCAACTAAAAATATGGACAGAGCATTCGGTTTTTGGACAACTGGTTCATATCTGGTATATTTGGGCTTTGTACTTGAACCTAGTCGATAGGAAGCGACATTTATTCAGAATTAAGGTATACTTCCATGATATTCCATAGTATGAGTCAGTAGCTTTTAAACAAACAGAAAATTTGCGCCAAAAAATAATACTTGGCTGAGTTACATGAATTTTTCAAGAAAACGAAAAATTACGGTAAAAAACGTGTTTTTTGGAAATTTGAAAAAAAGTAAAGCTTATTTTATGCTGCAGAGTTTTGTTGTGGAATTTTTCAACATACTAATAAGATAGAGCTTTTGAAGCTCTACAAAATTGGTAGTTTAATCTGTCTCTAAAGCTCGACATGAGAAGACATAAATACAAAAAACTGTATTTCGCGCTCGAAAGTTGCTGATGTTAATTGTTCGCAGTATTATTACAAAAAATGTTGGCTTCTACCTCCATGATATTCATCCCTCTATGGTTTTGTAGAGAATTCAACGCTGAATCTTTTGGTAAAAAATCAATCCGAAACGATGAAAGCTGAAAGAGATATTGAGGAAATACTGAGACAGCCATTCTTTATGGACTACCCGTTAGATGATATTACTATATTTTAGTATTAGTTGGAGGAAAATTAATGGTTTTTTACAACAAATAGGTGCTCTACGTTTCACAACTGCGCATAAATGAGCAAAAATATATATTATTGGTGATGCAACTGAATTTAATAATGATAATCGAGGAGGAAAATTATCCGAATCGTTTTATGATATTTTTCCAGATATTGAAAATGAAGCTAAATTATTTGCAACTAATGAATGTCAAAAAAAAACATCTAATTTTAAAGCAGCTGATTTGCGTAATTTTATTGATGAAAAATTTTATGAAGTAACAGGTTTAAAAAAAGATATTAATGATCCATATGTTAGATCAGAACGAAGTTGTCGTCTTGATTTAAAAAAGTGGGGAGCTAAATTTGTAAAGAATTCGCAGACCTTATTTTGAAAGCCATGAAAGAGATGATGTTGTTAATCATCGAAAAACTTTTATTGATTATTCCTTGTCTCGTAAAAATCATTATTACACATTAACTGATGATGCAACACCAGTATGGATTTGTCCAACTCAACGTCCTTGTATTTTAATGTGTCATGATGAATCAACATTTCGTAGTGGTGAAGTATCAGCAAAACGTGGGATGATGAATGATAGTGGTAGATTTTTTAGTAAAGGTCGAGTAAGAAGTTACATAGTATCAGATATTTTAGTACAACATCCATCTTGGCTATTTTTTACTTTAAATGATAATGAATGGAATGAAGATATTAAAAAGAATCCAACTTTAGATGAAATTAATGATGTAGAATATGTTGAAAGATCAGTAACAGCTAGTATTAATATTGGAACAGACTATTATTTTGATAATAAGACTATTCTTGAACAATTTGAACGACTTTTTCAGATGTTAGAATTTAAGAAGGAAGTCCAAAATCATGATATTGAAATTATTGTTGATAATGCACGAACTCATACTGCAAAAAGTTATAGTTTGAATGATTTTGGTAAATCAGTTGGTACCAGATGTCCAGTAGAAACAATTACTTATTATGATGATAATGGATCCATCAAAACTATCGATTCTTATTTTAAAAATGGCCCGCATAAGGGCAATAGTAAAGGACTTCTTGAAATTGCTAATGAATTACATATATCTATTCCAAGAGCATGCAAGTTAGGAGAATTACACTGTCTTCTTTCGCAACACAAAGCATTTAAAAATGTAATTATTCACGTTTTTCTTTTAGTACACTATCAAAACTATATTTCATTTTCATAGGTTTCAAAACTCGAGGAGTTAGGTAATAAATACAAAATTAAAGTAATATTTGCACCGAAATATCACTCTGAATCAAATCCGATAGAAGGATTATGATGTAATCAAAAACATTTCGTACGAGCACGCACAGACCAAAAATTTAACACCATGATTCATCTAGTAGTTCACGTCAGTCACGAAAACATTTTTTCGAAAAGCAAATATATAAAAAACTATTTCGACGATTTTCGAGATGCTTATATGCTTATCAATCAGGACAAAATTATTCTCAAGTATTGTAGTTATTCTTTAGTAATTTATGTAAAGCAGATGTATCATCTCGTCGAAAAATCACAAATACGAATTTAAATTGAACCAGAACTTTTTATACCATTTTTAGTATTTTCATCTGCAGTTTTCTATTCTATTTTTTCGCCATTTAGTATGAATTTTTCTAACAATATAATGGAATCATGGAAATATATTTCGTAGAAACTCACTAATCGTTTCTTACATATGTTTATTAGAACACGTTGAAATACTAATAGCGAAAATTTTAGCAAAACCTCTTCTATCGTCATAAAATATCGAAAAAGTTCATATTTCGATCTTTAGGCCTAGTAGAACATTTATGAAAAAAATTTAATTTCTCAACGATAGAAGGAGCTTGTCCAAAACCCATATTTATTTTTTTTAGTATATATATGAGGGTTATAACTATGGAAAAAGAATTGGTAAAACATGTGTCTATGATGAGCTGATGCCTTTGGAAGGTACCACTATAAAGGTTATTATATCTATATATAGGTCTAGTCATGGTAGACTCGACTGTTCAATCATTTTATCTTTCAAATCCATTGAAAGTTTCTTTTTATGTCGAGTCTTATCGGAAGTGTCGATTAAAATAGTTGAAGAACATAAAATCAAGATTAAATATAAATAAATGTGGAAACCTCGGATTAAAATCCGAGTGTTATGTGTACTTCAAAAAGTAAAAGATTATTGACGACAGATTGGTTTTGATCAAACTGTCTAAAAAAATGATCCTGGAGAGTAGTAAAGAATAGGGGTCGATCGGCTCACGTTGACGAACTTCAATCAAATGAACTAGAGAACTGTTCGAACAGCTCTTTTAAACGAGCTGAACTTTTTCAAACATTTATTTTCAAATGAACTTAACTTAAAGTTATACTAGATGTTATAATATGGGTGGATCCATAGGCCCTCAAGGCCTACTATATAGGAATACCCATAGGATAGTCCTTAAGGACCTGTTGGTGCTCCTATATAATAGAACTTGAGGAACTATTGGTACCCCTATATTAAAGGAATTGTGGACCTATGAGTATCTCATAGAATAGGTCTTGAGGACCTGTGAGTCCTCCATAGCACACTAAAGGAGTCATAGATATCCAGCCTGTGATGTCCCTAACCAATCTTAAAGATGGTATGTATAGCTTTTCATGATGATCAACTCATAGAGTCGAACTATTTGGAAAGGTTAAGTTCGTTGAAAAGAACTGTTCAAATAGTTCAGTTTGTGGTAGTGAACGTTTTGAACAACTCATCGGTTCTGCACTAGAGCTGAACTTATCTAGACAGGTGAGTTATCATAGCATGTGTAGACATCAAAATTTTCCTAGCAAGTCCTTCCTATTAAAACTTGATTTCTACTGGTTACTGCTCAATCAATAGGATTTTGGGGCAAATATGGCTCAGATTCGAGTTCTCCGCCCCAGAAAACTTCGAAGTATCATCTCTGTGATTGGAAGATGGAGCTTTAATTTTCGATCAATTAGAACGTGGACAAAACCAGAACCAATTTTCGTTTAAGTGTCTTTGTAAGAGGTGACTTAGCCTTCTTGTTTCCTAATGTTTTATATACCATTTTGTAGCTCGTGAAATTCTCTATCGAATGGTATATAATAGCGTGGGGTTTTGTTTGATTATGAGAGGAAAAGTTCTTTTACGAAAACCGAGATAGGTCAATAATCGCATAGAAAAGCATAGGAAAAAATGACTTTTTTTGCGATAACTCAGCAATGGCTCTACGAATCATTCTCATCTTCGAACTCGACCGAGATATTGATGAGACGATACTGTATACAAAATTTCATCAAGATCGCACTCTCCTTTCAAAAGTTATCGTGTAAACGGCCGGCCGAACGGACACACTGACCGATTCTAGAGTGTACTCACTTTTTGAGTACACAAAAATGGTAATATACTAACTATAGCTGAAATAGTTATATATCAATTTAAGGCTATTTTTGAAATAATAGTATTTTCGAAATTTTTTATAGAAAAATCGATCTGAAAATGTGAAAAACAACATTTTTATAGGTAACTCGACGAGCTCTAACCATGCGAAAAAAATCGGCAAAAAAAATATTGCTTCAATTTCGATTTGCCCACACCTTACATCAAAATGATCAGCTAATCGAGCTCTGAAAACGCTGAAATTTTCACGTTGATAGGAGATACTTTTTTATAACATGGTAGAAGCCCCATGAAAGCACCCTAGTTTTTAAAGTAACTTCGTTCTTCTTTTTTTGTTTTCATATCTATAGTGTATATATCATTATAATTAACTATTCTGCAATTATACTAACAGAATCTGTCTATTGATGTCAAAGTATTTTGACGGATGTGTGCGTATTTTCAATGCTTGCATGTCATTTGAATAATATATTCTTGTCAACAATGTTTATCCATAACTATCAGAAGCACATTGATGGACAGAACAACAAAGCTCTCATTAAACGTATGCATGAAAAAACAAATTTGTCTATCATCTTATAGATCAGATAGCACGCGTGTACCTAAGCGTGCATCAAAATAAAGGGAATGACAAGCAACAAAAAAAACATAATAGATTTATTGTATCTTCTCATGTCGATACTTCATTTTCATTGTGCTAATTATGATAAAAATGATACTATGTGAATGTGTATGCAAAGAAAGGTTAGGTGATAAAAATCATTAAAAAAAGTAAACAATAGAAAGATCAAATAATAAATAGGAAAATATCATTTTCTATTTGAAGTGATTGTAGTTTGAACAAAAAAAAACAAATTGCAAATAATATAGTGCTACAATAAGAATAACAACATCCAACCCATAACATAAAGATGATTACTTGTTATACAAAACAATATCAGGAAGCCAGATTTTTTGGCTCGGAATGTAGAGTACATCGACGCCTCCATATTTGATTGGATCCCATCGAAGTTTATCGTCGTACCACTCCTACTCATGCATGCAATCCTTTGTTTGTTTTACTCTCGGATTCTATCTTATATTTATTGTATTAATGAATAGCCTTTATTATATGATCTTACCTGTTTAAGCCAAACATTTGTTGTCATTATTTGATTTTTTTCGTCCTTCACAAATAGAAAAGAAAAACAAAGCAATAATTATTTTCTAATTTTCATGTAAAAAACAACTTGTCATACCACATCAAGTAATTGTGTTAATCGAAGACCCAAATAAACGGTTAATCTTTCACTGTTATGTTTGACTGGGCGAATTAATTTATTATAGGCACGTACATGAATTAATTCTTCATATAAACGTTTTGCATCCGGATTAGCAATAGTTACTATTTATAACAATAAGAAAAACAATAAATCTATAGATGTATATTTTAAAACTAACCACCAATGAAGCACCAATAAATATGAAATATTAATAATATGATAATACTTGTCTCCATGCATCGAGCTGAATTTGTTTCTTATTGATATGATCTATTAATTAATGGGCAAAAAGAAATCAAAGATTCTGATTATTCTTGTTTTCTTGTTATGCTGCTATTGATGATAGAAAACTACTACTCTACTCTATCTTATCTTTCACTGATTTCTCTGTCTTCTGATAATGTGGCAATGATGATAGTTGAATACCAGTGCGGACACGCGTATATTATATGAGAGAATAAACACATCAATTTGCTAATTTTTGCTGTTCTTCTGTATTCTTTTTTTTTGGTTACATTGTGCCTCCTTAAGAGAACATATGCTTTAGCTTAGATCAACTTTCTTTTCTATCGTTCTTCCAGTTTTTTTTCTTTCTCTCTCTCTATCGTTACTTAGAATGATAAGAAACATCTTTCATCATCATAGTCTCAATGCCAGAAGCATACGCGCAGAATAACAAATGTATTGCATCCGTGCTTTTATGAGAAGAAACACGCTTCTCTGTACAGAAAGAAGATTCTAACATAGTAGACTATTTGTACAGTATGTAAAATAGTTATTGGAACACTTTGTGACATCTATCTTGCAAAACAAATTTCGAAATGAAGAAACTGTATTCTCTCAACTCTTTTTATACCATTTGATTGGGCTGAATCTCCATATTTGACAAAAAAAATTTCCTCAAAAATATTTTCATAACTCTTTAAAGGTTTTTCATTGAACCACTTGATTTCCTGTGCAAAAAATTATTCGAACACTTGTAGTTTTCTTTTCATTCCATATCAAAACATAGGATTGGCTTATTCTCTTGACAACCAAAATAATCATCATATCCTCCCACAAGATATTTCCAATACTATTAACATCATACTCTCAAATGATTAATTCATTGAAAGTCGACAACACATCTACATACAAGAATCACCTAATAGAAAACACTAATCACTTACCGATTAAAACACGTTAAGGACAATCGACAGATTCGATAGATAGTTACTTACCCAAATGAATCAACATTGATTCAATTTTGTTTCGGATTCATTGATTCGAATTAAAATGACTATCATCTGAAGGTTCTCACTACAGAGATCATATATGTTATAACATCATAGTTGCTCTACATATCTTGACAGTCAAAAAATCGACAAGAAATCTGCTTGGATATGATCGATGTATTGCACTACAATGTCTCGTTTCTAGTTTTTCTTCGAATGAAATTAATATCATCATTTTTCTATAATATATTCAGATCCATAATAATAGAAAATGATTTGAGCTAGTCAATACTATTTTAGATAGATATATATTGCATGAACAAAA